TGGTCCAATACTGGCCCATGCTGTACTCAACTTGGTACTGCACCATAGTTTAATATTTCAACTCAGGAGTTCAGTGTTTACAATACTAATATGATTGTATTTTCATGTTTTACTATAATATTGTCCTMATATTGCTTTATTTTTGTAATATTTTTCAAATTGGTGACAACCATTACATTGGCAATGTGGCCACTTTCTGCACACATACAAGCCAAACCCTGGCCTTGTTCTCTGTCACAGCTCTATTGGTCTCATGGTTAATGCCATGGGCTTTCATGTGGGAGATCAGGGTTCGAAACCCAGCTACAGCAACTTTAACAGAAAATCTCTACAAACTTCATATTGTTACACAATTACTCTTATTACAAACACCTGCTGATTTGACAGGCACAAGCTGGTATAGAAAACACATTTGAACTTGGTCACAGTTCATTCTGCAAGTCCACTGCTGCAGGTAAAGCCATGCTACATGGCAATGCACACTTGTTTTTACATCGTAAAAACCCATGTGTAGTTCTCATTAATTTCCTTCCAGCTGTGCACCACACTGTCCAGTGCATTTCCACACCTCTGAGCTCTACATTTCGTGTTTGTCAACTCTATTTACAAATCCCTACAGACTCTTCTAATGTCTGCGACACATCTAAAATTAGATTTAATTTTCCAACCTGGTGGAGCATCTTTTAACCAGGAAACTCCAGGGATCGTTAACCAACACGTGGTCAGTTCTGAAAAAGCAACAATCACAAGAATGAATCACAACCAGTTAGAGTTTGGTCATTGATGTCCAGAGTGTGAAGAACAGACATAATGAAGGTACAACACTGAATATACTGATGACTCTTTTACATCTAATGTATTTGCTAATGAAGCCAAATGTATGACATCATTTTTTATCAGTAATCAGTAAACCATAGGAACATGTGAAAACAAATCTAAACATGCTGAAGCCACAAACACAAGATTCATGTGCTGCTGTCAAAACCTGGGACCACGACAGCTCCTCTTTGGGATTATCGTCTAAAACATCGGCAACCTTACTGTAAAGTCTTCGTGGCATTAAAGCTCCAATCAGACAGTTTTATATCAACTTCTGCTCCATCCTGCTCGTTATCAAACGGAGGAGCAGCTGCAGGAGAAAGGATGTCTTCATCAGCTCTTCTGATCACGTTCAGCCTGATGATCAGAGGTGATGAGCCCAACAGAAACCACAGAACAAGAACTGTCTTTCAACATTCAAACTACCCTTGAATTGTTGCTGTTTATCAGTCCTTACAGTCCTGTTCACAGCTGATCGATGTCTTAGATTTATAATAAATAAATGTAAAGTTCAGCATTAAAAGACAGCTCCGAATCCTGCAGCCCGCCCTTCATGGGCTGCTGTTTGTAAAGTTACACAGTCAAAAATTACCACCAATATTTTTGTTTTATTTAGTCTTTTATAAGAAAAAAGAACAGATTTATTTTTCAAAGTCAGTTTTTCACCATATGATTCATACATTTATAAATGTCATAGTTTATAAAC